GTCCAGCTCCTGCTTGGCCAGGAATACTCAGCAGTCATCAGTTTCCACTGTCACTCCCTTGGGCAGCTTTGGAGTTTACTTGAGGCAACTCCCTACAGGGCAGCTTGAACTTCTTCCTTCAGTACCACTGGTTCTTGATCATATGCTACCTCCTGAAATAGTTGGACATTGACTGATTCTTTTTGATAAAGTGACTCTGTATTCCTTCTTTTGATACTTCCTACATCATTCAATATTCTGTCCATACAAAAAAAGACCAAACCAAACTCACTGCCCTTAAGTCGGATCTGACTCATAGCAACCACATTTTGGGTTTCTGAGGTGGTATCACTACAGAAATAGATTGCCCAACCTTCCTTCTGAGGAGTGGCTGGTGGGTTTGAACCACCACCCTTCTGACTAGCAGTTAAATGCCTTAGGCACTATGCTACCAGAGCTCCCATTCCATAGAATCCTTCAATATTACAACTCAAGGCTTGATTTTTTCTTCAGATCTTTCAGCTTGAGAAATGCCAAGTGTGTTCTTCCCTTTTGGTTTCCTAACACCAGATCTTTGCCCATTTCATTATCGTACTTTGTTTTCTCTTCTCAAGCCACACTGAAATCTTTCGTTCAGTTCCTTCATCTCAGCATTTCTTCCATTTGCTTTAGCTATTTTATATTTAAAAGGAAGTTCAGAGTCTCTTCGGACATCCATTCTGGCCTTTTTTTGTTTCCTGTCTTTTTAATGACAATTTGCTTTCTTCATTTATGATGCTTTTCAGGTCATCCCACAACTCATCTGGTTTTTGGTCATTGATGTTCAATGCATCAAATACTTTTTGCAGATGGTCTCTAAATTCTGGTGAGATATAATCAAAGCTGTAGTTTGGACTTGTTTTAATTTTTTTTAACTTTATTTTGAACTTGCATATGAGCAATTGATGGTCTGTTACATAGTCTGCTCCTGGCCTTGTTTTCACTGTTGATATTTAGTTTCTCCATTGCCTCTTTCCACAGATGTAGCCTATCTGATTCCTATATATTCCATCTGGCCAGGTCCACATGTATAGCTACCATTTATATTGTTGAAAAAAGGTATTTGCAGTGTATAAGTCATCGGTCTCGCAAAAATTCTATCATGTGATCTCTGGCTTCATTTCTATCACCAAGGCCATATTTCACAACTATCAATGGTTCTTCTTTGTTTCCAACTTTCACATTCCAATCATCAATAATTATCAATACATCTTGATTGTATGTTTAGTCAATTTTAGACTGAAGAAGTTGGTAAAAATCTTCAATTTCCTCATCTTTGGCTTTAGTAATTGGTGCATAAATTTGAATAAAAGTAGTATTAACTTTTCTTCCTTGTAGATGTATGGAAGATATATGGAAATTATCCTATCACTGACAGCATTGTACTTTAGGTTAGATCTTCAGATGTTCTTTTTGATGATGAATGCAATGCCATTCTTCTTCAATTTGTCATTCCAAGCATAGTAGATCACATGATTGTCTGATTCAAAATGGCCAACATCAGTCCATTTCAGCTCACTAATGCCTAGGATATCAATCTTTATCTGTTCCATTTCATTTTTGACAACTTCCAGTTCTCCTAGATTCATACTTAATACATTCCATGTTCTGATTATTAATGAATGTTTGCAGCTGTTTCTTCCCATTTTGAGTTGTGCCCCCAATGGCAAATGAAGGTCCCAAAAGTTTTACAGCATCCACATTGTTAAGGTCAACTCTACTTTGGGGAGGCAGCTCTTTCCCAGTCATATTGTGAGTACTTTCCAATCTGAAGGGTTCATCTCTGGGTGCTATATCAAACACTGTTTCAGGGCTATACATAAGTGTTCCAGTAATATATAAGATACTGTTTCACTGCTATTCATAAGGTTTTCAGTGGCCAGTTTTTTCAGACGTGTATGGCCCTGTTCTTCTTTCCAGTCTGCATTGGTCTGGAAGCTCCACTGAAACCTGTCCACTGTAGGTGACCATGCTGGTGTTTGAAATACTGGCATAGCCTCACAACAACACACACGCAACCACAGTACAACAAACTGACAAAAAAAACTGACAAATAGTGATATATATGTGTGTGTGTGTGTGTGTGTGTAGATAGATAGTGATATGAGAGGTGCTCTGGTGGCATAGTGCCTAAGGCATTTGACTGCTAACCAGAAGGCTGGAGGTTCAAACCCACCAGCCACTCTTCGGAAGAAAGATTGGGCAATCTTTTCCCATAGTAATACTGCCTTAGAAACCCAAGGAGGGGTCACTATGAGTCAGATCTGACTCCAAGGCAATGAATTTGGTTTGGTTTTATAGTGATATGAACCTTAGTGCCACAATGTTCTATTCTGTCCTATAGGGTTGCTATGAGTTGGGATCAATTCAGTAGCACAGAACAACCACCAGAATGTGTGTGTGTTGTTGTTGTTAGGTGCCATCAAATAGTGACCCTATGCCCTACAACACAACAAAACAACTACAACAATGCCCTACAACAGAACAAAACACTGCCTGGTCCTGTGCCAACCTCATAATCCTTGCTATACCTGAGCCCATTGGTGCAGCCACTGGGTGAATCCATCTTGTGGAGGACCTTCCCATTTTCCACTGATTACCAAGCATGAAATCCTTCTCCAGGGAATGGTCCCTCCTTACATGACCAAAGTAGGTGAGACAAAGTCTAGCCAATCTCACTCCTAAGGAACATTCTAGCTGCACTTCTTCCAGAACAGACTTGTCCATTCTTCTGGAAGTCCATGGTACTTTCAGTATTCTTAGCTCTGAAACATTGTCCGATATAGTTCTGGCAGATGAGCTTCTGAGGTCAGAAGGCACTCAAAATATGATGGAGAAGAGCTGTCTCCTCAAAGTACAGTCAAGATGGGAAGAAACAGCTGCAAGCACCCATTAATAATTGGAACATGGAATGTACTAAGCATGAATCTAGCAAAATTGGAAATAGTAAAAAATGAAATGGAATACATAAAGATTGATATCCTAGGCATTAGTGAGCTGAAATGGACTGGTTTGGGCCATTTTGAATCAGCCAACTATATGATCTCCTACATGGGAATGACAAATTGAAGAGGAATAGTGTGCCATTCATCATCACAAAGAAAGTTTCAAGATCTATCCTGAAGTACAATGCTGTCAGTGATAGGATAATATCCATATGCCTACAAAGAAGACCAGTTAATAATACCACTATTATTCAAATTTATGCACCAACCACCAAAACCAAAATTGAGGAAATTGAAGACTTTTACCAACTTCTGCAGTCTAAAATTGACCAAACATACAATTTAGATGTGTTGATTATCACTAGTGATTGGAATGCAAAAGTTGGAAATAAAGAAGAATCACCAGTAGTTGGAAAATAAGCCGTTGGTGATAGAATGGAGATCACATGATAGAATTTTGCAAGACCAACAACTTATTCATTGCAAATGCCTTTTTTCAACATAAACTGCAGCTATACACATTGACTTCCCCATATGGAATACAAAAGAATCAGATCGACTACATCTGTGAAGGAGGTGATGGAAAAGTTCAATATCAGCCAAAACAAGGCCAGGAGCTGATTGTGGAACAGACCATCAACTGCTCATATGCAAGTTCAAGTTGAAGGTAAAGACAATCAAAACAAGTCCACAAGAACCAAAATAAGACCTTGATTGTAGAGAATTTAGAGACCATGTAAAGGATAGATTTGGCACATTGAACATGAGTGACCGAAAACTAGAGGAATTGAGGGATGACACCCAGACCATAATTTATGAAGAAAGCAAAAGGTCATTGAAAAGACAGGAAAAGAAGAAAAGACCAAAATGGATGTTAGAAGAGACTCTGAAACTCACTCTTGAACAAAGAGTAGCTAAAGCAAATGGGAGAAATGACAAGATAAAAGAGCTGAACAGAAGATTTCAGAGCAGCTTGAAAAGACAGTCAATTACTATAATGCAATGTGCAAAGATCTGGAGTTAGAAACTCAAGAGAGAATAACACATTGACATTTCTCAAGCTGAAAGAACTGAAGAAAAAATTCCAGCCTTGATTTGCAATATTGAAAGATTCTATGGATAAAATATTGAATGATGCAATAACTATCAAAATAAGATGGAAGGAATACACACAGTCACTCAACCAAAAAGAATTGGGCAATATTCATCCAGTTCAGGAGGCTGCATATGATCAAGAACCAATGGTATTGAAGGAAGAAGTAAAAGCTGCACTGAAGGAACTGGAGAAAAACAAAGCTCCAGGAATTGGCGAAATACCCATTGAGATGTTTCAACAAACAGATGCTGCCCTAGAAGCACTTACTTAGCTATACCAAGAAATCTGGAAGATAGCTACCTGGTCAAGTTACTGGAAGAGATCCATATTTGTACCCATTCCAAAGAAAGATGATTCAACAGAATGTGACAATTATCGAACAATATCATTAATATCACATGCAAGTAAAATTTTGCTGATGATAATTAAAAAATGGTTGCAGTAGTATGTTGACAGACAACAACTTCCAGAAATGCAAGCTGGATCAGATAGATCTTAGCTGACAACAAAAAATACCAGAAAGATGTTTACTTCTGTTTTATTGACTATGTGAAGGCATTAGACTGTGTGGATCATAATAAATTATGAATCATAACAAATTACTAACATTGTGAAGAATGAATATTCCAGAACACGTAATTGTTCTCATAAGTCACCTGTACATAGACCAAGAGGCTGCCATTTGAACACAACAAAAGGATACTGCATGGCTTAAAATAAGAAAGGGTATGTGTCAGGGTTGTTTCCTTTCACCATATTTAGCCAGTCTGTATGGTGAGCAAATAATCCAGTAAGTTGGACTGTATGAAGAAGAACGTGACAGCAGGATTGGAGGAAGACTCATTGACAACCTGAGATATGCAGATGACACAACCTTGCTTGCTGAAAGTGAAGAAGACTTGAAGCACTTACTGATAAAGATGAGAGACTACAGTCTTCAGTACAGGTTACACCTCAACATAAAAAGAATGAAAATCCTCACAACTGGACCAATAAGCAGCATCACAATTGATTGATGTTGTCAGGGATTTCATTTCACTTAGATCCACAATCAACACCCATTGAAGCAGCAGTCAAGAAATCAGATGTTGTATTGCACTGGGCTAATTTGCCACAAAAGATCTCTTTAAAGTGTTAAAGAACAAAGAGGTCACTTTGAAGACAGGTGCACCTAAACTAAGGCTTGGTATTTTGAATTCCCGGATATGCATGTGAAAGCTAGACAATGAATAAGGAAGACCAAAGAAAAGGTAATGCCTTTGAATTATGGTGTTGGCAAAGAGTACGCTGTCCTTAAGTTGATTCCACTCAGAGCAACCCCTCCTTGGGTTTCCAAGGTGATATCTCTACAAAAGTAGATTGCCCAATCTTCCTTCCAAGGAGTGGCTGGTGGGTTTGAACCACCAATCTTCTGGTTAGCAGTCAAATGCCTTAGGCACTATGCCACCAGAGCTCCCAAAAATACCATGGACTGCCAAAAGAATGAACAATTCTATACTGGAAGAAGGGCCTAATTTGGTCATATTGTCAGAAGGGCAGAAGGGACCAGTCCCTGGAGAAGGATATCATGCCTCGTAAAGTAGAGGGTCAGCATAAAAGGGGAAGACCCTCAAAGAGATGCATTGACACAGCGGCTTCAACAATAGGCTCAAGCATATTAAGGATTGTTAGGATGGTGTAGGAACAAGCAGTGCTTCATTCTGCTGTATACAGGGTCCTTATGAGTCAGAGCTGACTCGCTGGCACCTAACAACAACAACAACAAATCCTTACTTATAGGAGCCCTAGCGGTACAAACTTGGCTGCTAACTGAGAAGTTGGAGGTTCAAACCCACCCTGTGCCTGTGGAAAAGATAGGTTTGGCAAATTGTTTCCATAAACATAATAGCCAAGAAAACCCTCTGGAGCAATTCTGCCCTGTAACATGTGGTGTCACCATGAGTCAGGGGCCAACTGGAAAGCAGTCAACAACAGTAACAATTTTTGTTTATATTTGGGAACCTCCTTTGGTCAAATGTAGTAACTAAAGTGAATTTCCTCAGTCCAAACTGGGGCTTCAATTTCCCTATCAATGAATACAAACTGTGATTACAGTGTTCTGAGAAGTTTTAAAGAGATGCAATATGACAAGGTTTGTGTACAGCTTCTTTTCTGGGTTTGAAGAGTTCCTAGTTCTCTTTATATCCACAAATTACCTGGCAATTTACCCTTCTTTTCTTATCTAGCACCTACTCTGGCAATCTCTTTTTTATTACCCATCCTCTTTCAATTTCTCCCTCTTCCCCAGTGCAAGTCAGGCTTCTTCTTCCTGAATCCTCATTCCATGAGCCAGTTTAGGTAGATCATTATCAGAAAGCAGTTCTCAAGACAACCGAGCTCCATTCCAAAGAAGACCAAATTGAAACCATACCATTTACCAAATACCAGCATGAAAAAAAAAAAAAAAAAAAAAACCTTGCCACTGAGTTGATTCCAACTCATAGTCACCCCCAGGGGGTTTCCAAGGCAGTAAATCTTTGCGGAAGTAAGCTCAAATGTATCAGAATTTTAAATACGAAAAAGCAAAGCCATACAAGTACAAGAATAAACATGGGTAAGTGTCTTTATAGCATTTCCATCTATGATTCAAAACCTAGAAGCTGTAAAAGAAAGATCAATTTGATGACATAAAAATATATATTTTTAACAAATCTCCCGAATGACAAAAAGCTTTATAAGCAAAGTCATGTCACAAACGATAACCCAGAGGAAATAACTGAAGTAATACCATAGACAAAGGCACTGTTGCTTCATTTATAAAAATTCTCTCAAGAGTAAACAGAAAAAGACAAACTATGCAATAGAAAACATGTCAAAGAATCCCGTGAGAGAATATTGGGTTGCAAAGTGCCCATTTTGGTTATACATCTTTACCTGATAAAGCTATGCTGCAAAGTCTGCTTCGTTCATGTGGAGGACTCCATTTTTCCCAAAGTGCATATTGACCCCCCAATCCTGATCCCTACGATAAAAATAGTTATAGTTCTCAATTTGTGATACTATGAAGGAAATTATATTTAGCTCAGATTTATAAAATATCTGGGTACCTGGCATATGCCCTGGATTATTCGAGTTACAATAAGAAAAACTAGTCCCAGGTCAGCTGCCAGAGGAATACAAAGAGTGAAAAGTGATGATCCAAACAAAGCAGCACCAACTACCAGTTTTGTTCCTACTCTTCCAGCCAAGTATCCACTGGGAGCGATAGTCAGTAACATGCCGTAGTTGACGGAACCAAAGATGATGCCTTGGGTTTGAGGGCTCCAGTTATACACAGAGACCTTAAAGAAACAGAGAAGTCTACAGTAAGCCACTTACAACATAATTCTTTCATACCTTAAGAAGCCTCTTTAGATCTATCACTTGCTTTGAAATCAGTATTCTCTCAATCAAAACTTTTTAACATAGAACCTTTGGAAAAATAAACATCTAAACAAACAGCAACAACAAGAGCACAACTTGAATCTTGCATTGCTTACCCCTGCAGAAAAACTCTTTAGGACTTTGTTTGGGCCACTAGATGAGTTCACAGGCAGCCCTTCAGTGGAGACGTTGACCTGGGACTGATGGCTTGTGCTGTTGACCATGGCTACCATGGTGATGTTTATGATAGCATTCTGTCCCACAAATATGAAGTTGCAGACATGTACAATGAGGGCCATTCCATAGCGAACAGAACATAGGCTTTGAACTGGAAATATTATAACATTAGTTACATTAGTGCTTTCCTTGTTAATCCAGCACTTGTTTTTTTACAAGTAATGAAATGGAAAGGTACTACAGATCATCACCTGATGATTTAAATGGCATTTTTATTGACTTTAGAAAGGAAAATACAAAAGGAGATCACTAACTGACCCAAAGAGCCTTTTATATCACATCTATGGGGCATTCTGTCCTTCCTGTAATTATGTCTCTCCCATTCCCAGTCCAGGTCAATGAGTTCTACAAATGATGGAACTACTCCTAAATAAAAAACAAATAAATATGTGTGTGTGTGTGTGTGTACATATACATACATACATATACACAAATATGTATATATATACATATATTGAAAATAAATATGTATATTCATCTAAGTAAATATATATGTATATGTTTTATTGTTGTTACTGTTGTTAAGTGTCATGGAGTCAATTCCAACTCATAGCTACCCCATGTGACAGAGTAGAATGGCCCTTAGGGCTTTCTACCCTGTAATCTTTATTGGGGCAGATCAGCAGATCTTTCTCCAGTGGAGCAGCTGGATGGGTTCAAACCACCAACCTTTTGGTTAGTAGCTGAGAGCTTAAACCATTGTGCCACCAGAGCTCCTTATGTATTTGTTTCCATATTTTAAATATATGTATGTATTGTGTATGTGTGTAATGTGTGTACATATATATATAATTTTATATATAATAAATGTTATAGTTAATATATAATATTATATATTATAACAATTAAAAAAAAAAAAAACCTCACTGCCGTCCAGTCGGATCCAACTCATAGCAACCCCTTCTTGGGTTTCCAAGGTGGTATCACTACAGAAGTAGATTGCCCAAATGCCCAAATTGCTGTCATATGCCTTAGGCACTATGCCACCAGAGCTCCTCCCATATATATATATATAATAGTGTAAAGAGAAATAAACATAGCATTCAAATAATCTGCATTTGTACTCCCAGTAAAGAGGGTTTTACAAATAGAAATCTCATTCTCCCTTTCCCAGATCCTGGCTGTGTTGTCTAAAGAACGTACCATGTGGGGAAATCAGCATTTATGATAGAAATTAAAGAACAGAATTGTTCAGAAACTGAAATTTGAAGAAAATCAGTTATACACTCTGCAGATTAAATCAAATCATATAATAACTCCATAGGCTGGGCTCTCTGGTGAGCAGAAGACACCCTGGCCAAATGAAGCTATCAATCTAATTTGAAGACCAAATAAGAAGTGTGAAGCAGAAAACCATGTTTACCTGGTCCCAAATTTCTTTTCAGCACTTCAACCAGAGTAGCTCTTCAGGACTCTCTACCCCCTTCACTTTTTCCCAATGGCAAGAGAAGGGACTTATTGGATAAATAAACTTGGATAACTTGAGAATGTGTAGCTCAGCTCCTTCTGCAGTCTGCCTGAAGACTATCTACTCTCCCACCACACACCTAATTTAGCAGAGCTAGGCTCTGACCAAGGAGCTCTGGTAGCATAGTGCCTAAGGCATTGTCAAACCAGAAGACTGGTGGTTCAAGCCCATCAGCCACTCCTCAGAAGGAAGATTGGACAATCTACTTCCATAGTGATTCCCCCTTGGAAACCCAAGGAGAGATTGCTATGAGTTGGATCCGACTCGATGGCAGTGAGTTTGGTTCGGTTTGGTTTGAGGATCTGACCAACAGGAAAGCCTGCACTTGTGCAGTTCAGTCTGTGCCTGGATAGATGGTGGTGGTTGTTTGCTATCGAGTCGATTCTGACTCATACAGACCCTATATGGCAAAGCCGAACTTAACCCACAGGGTTTCTGGTCTGAAATCTTTATAAAGGCAAATTGCCAGTTCTTTTTTCCTGCAGAGCTGCTGGTGGATTCGAACCTCCAGCCTTCATATAGCAGCAGAGCACACCAATGCACTACCAGGGTTCCTTATCTGGATGGATAAGTCTGTCCAATTCAGGGTAAACATGGGAAAGCCGAGTTAACCATTCTTCTAAGCCATGTCCTCCAGTCCAGTTTTTATACCCTCATCAATCATTCAGCAAATACTTATTGGATATCCTCAATTTCAGGGTCTTGGAGTATGACAAGGAACACTGCAGATAACTAGTCATGCTTTAGTAGAGCTCACATTCCAGAGGGGAGTACTCATTGTGGGGCAGGAGGGGAGAGCAAATACAATAACATATTAGACAGTGCTAAGTACCATGGAGAAAATAAATCAGGAAAGGGAAAATCTTGATGAGGTGCTAGAGCCAACCACCTACTTACTATCTGGGGAAAGAGCACATTCAGTAGAGGGAAAAGCCTATGCAGAAGCTCTGAGGCTGGCTGGAGAACGCTATTGTATTCAGAGAACCAAAAGGAAGTGAATATCACAGAGTGGGGTGATCCAAAGGTGTGGTGGTTTGTGTGTCAACTTGGCTGGGCCTGGTTGAGTGGCTGGGCAGCTGGTGTAGTTATTCCCCATGAGGAGACTGGCAATCAACTCCATGGTGGGATTTACCACAAGCAGCTGAGTAGCTGCCTTTGGGTATGTGATCTGCTTCCTGTATATGAGGAGAAGCCTCTGGGTATGGTCTTTAGCCTATGGCACGCTTGGACCCTGCATGTAGCCATGGTGTTGCTCAGCAGCCTGCTATGCTCTGCTGACCTTGAGACTTACAATGAACTTAAGTTAATGGCCTGCCATGTGGTTTGGTAAGATTGGGACTGTGCCTTTTTACTTGTCAACCTTGGGGCTTCTCAGCCTCAGCAGTCAGCAGCTGTCTGAGTGAAGAAATGCCTCTAGTTCCAGTGGGCCAGGAGCTGGAGGCAGAGCTGGACCCCAAGGTTGAGGGGCTTTCACCCAGCCCCTAGAGCCTGGCACTTTGAATGTGGACTTAAAGCCTCCAAATTGTAAGAATAAACTTCTGTTTGATGAAGTCATCCCATTTGTGGCATGTTTCCTGTGCATTGTGCAGACTTTGTCTTTGTCTTTGACTCTGAGTGGCATGGGGCTGCCTGAGGAATTTGAACAGAAGAGTGACAAGATCTATTTTGAAAGAACCTTTTTGGCTGCTGAATTGAGAACCAGATGATAGAGGAAAGTGAAGATAGGAAGCTATGGATTATTATTATTTTTTTTTTGTTCCACTGCATATTAACTGATTAACTGATCAACTAATCAAAATGAATAGGTCTAAAATTAAACTCCTGAGCTCTCCCTAAACTTGCTCCACCCAGAGTCTTTCCTGACTCAGGGGATAGAAATCCTATTCTTCCAAACACTTTGGAATTATTCTTGATTTCTTTCTTTTACATCCTTGTTTTTACATTCAGTTTGTATGCAGAATCCAACCTCTTACTGGGGCTACTATTATTACTTGGTTTATAACCCCCTTCACATGGTTCTCGCTACCAACATAACTGGTCTGGAGTTTTATAGTAGCAAACTTCCTGCTTCCAATCTATTCTCAATACAGCAGTTAGAGTGTTCTTATCATACCATCAATAAGATCACCCCTCATTCACTCAAAATCCCCAACGTGGCTCCACATTTGCTCAGATTGAAAACTAAGATTCCTTTCGTGGCCTATGGAAATGAAATATTTATACTCTTTGCCTCAGATATTTAACTTTTTGGGAATAAACCTAAGGAAATAATTCTAAATGTTACAAGTATTATATAAAAGGATGTTTATTTATCTTATTTAATTTATAATAAACAAGTAACAAAACAAAAACCCACAACACAAATATCCAACAAAGGGATTTTTCAAGTAAAATATTTTGTCTATTAGATATGTTGGAATAGTAATCACATATATCCTTTAAGAATAGTTGTATTATACAGCAAAATGGAAATACAGACAATATGTCTGGCCAAGTTAAAAAAATATAATATAGATAGTATAGAACTACATAAAGTATATGCATAGGAAAATGAAAGGAAATCAATTAAACAAATTACAATTGTTGAATATGCTAGTGAATTACAGAAATTTTTTCTTTCCTGATTTTCCAAGCTTCTGTAATTAAGAAACTGTAAGTTTTTCTTACATTAGTTAATTAAACAATAGAATAATGTTAATAATATTACATGAAATAACAGGCAGAATACATAATACTACATGTAAACAATCTGGTAGCAATTATGAAGAATGTAAATGCATATAAGCAAAGATTAAAAGGTAATCAGCAAAAAAAGTGAAAGACTTCTAAGAATAGTGGTAGTAGTTTCCATTATCAATTTGCAAAATGTACCTTAATGTTACTTTATTTTTAAAAAGAATTAAATAGCTTAAAAGAAATAAATTCATTTCTCTGTATTAAAATATTGCACATAAAGAATCCACCTTAAAGCCCTAAATCCAAGCAGCCAAGGTCAAGTTTACCTTTCCTGGGAATGGACTTCTCATCCAGCTGCATGTCTTGGGAGTACATACTCTCCCGTGATGTGGGGCTCAGCTTTGTTGGGGTGGCCATCTCGTTTCTCCTCCCCTGTTGAGTGTTTTCTATCTACCAAGGAGAAATGGAAGCCACAGGGGTCAGCTGTCAGAGGGACTCCTTTGAAACACAAAATGGGCACTAAGCAAACAAAAGCTGAGCCATTCTATGAGGATAAGGTGTAGAGAGGCTCATTACTCTCTTTGGCTCAATACACAAGGTATGCTGCAGCTAAGGTTTAACTATTTACTATTTACTACCTCTATCTAGAGGAGCTCTGGTAGCATAGTGGCTAAAGCACTTGACTGCTAACCAGAAGGCTGGCGGTTCAAACCCACCAGCCACTCCTCGGAAGGAAGGTTGGGCAATCCTACTTCCGTAGTGATACTGCCTCGGAAACCCAAGGAGGGGTCGCTATGAGTCGGGGCCGACTCGACGGCACATAACAACAACAACAACAACCTCTATCTAGGAGCTCTGGTAGCATAGTGGCTAAGACACTTGCCTGCTAACCAGACGGCTGGCGGTTCAAACCCACCAGCCACTCCTCAGAAGGAAGGTTGGGCAATCCTACTTCCATAGTGATACTGCCTCGGAAACCCAAGGAGGGGTCGCTATGAGTCGGGGCCGACTCGAAGGCACATAACAACAACAACAACCACTATCTAGAGGACCTCTGGTAGCATACTGCCTAAGGCACTTGACTTCTAACCAGAAGGCTGGCGGTTCAAACCCACCAGCCACTCCTCAGAAGGCAGGTTGAGCAATCTACTTCCGTAGTGATACTGTCTCAGAAACCCAAGGAGGGGTCACTATGAGTCGGGTCTGACTCGAGGGCACATAACAACAACCTCTATCTAGAGTGCTTACTATGAACCACTTTAAAAGCACTGGCTTGAGGGCTTGGCATTTCCAGATTCAAATCCAGGTTCAGGATTTATGTACTTAGCCAAGTGCCATCAAGAACAAGTTTCTGGCTTCAGTATCCCCATCTGCGGTTAATAAAAATTATTATTATTTCTTTTTCTTCCTTTGTTGCTCTGACTGGAATGTCTAATATAATATTTAATTGAAATGGTAAATGAACCATTTCTTGCCTCATTCCTGATTTATTAGAGAGAAAGCATACATTCTTTTATCATTAAATATAATGTTAACAGTATGTTTTTTATAGATGCCCCTTATCTGGTTGAAAGCATTTCCTTCTCTTGCTACTTTTCTTAGAGTTTTTAGCATGAATGCAAGTTGGATTTTATCAAAAGCTTTTTCTGTGTCTATTGGGATAATCATATACATTGCTTTTTAATGTTATAATATGGAAATTCTCTCAAGACAGTAAGCTGAGGCCATTGTAGGGCTCACTTCATTTTTTTCTCTGTTTTTGAAGGATCATTGTCCTTTATTGCCTGATATTACCCCTCGCCATGGAGTCCAATTTGACTCATGGTGACCCTGTGTATTACTGAGTATAACTGCTCCATAGGGTTTTCTTGGCTACAATCTTAACAGAAGCTGATTGTCAGGCCTTTCTTCCATAGTGCCACTGGGTGACTTTGAACCACCAACCTTTAGGTTAATAGTCGAATGCAAACTGTTTGTGCCACCCAGGTGCCTTGCCTGATATCAAGTGTATTGGAAAACCTTGTTTCATATATTTGCCTGATATTTTTATTGTTTCAGGTGGTGGAATATACCTAGTCTGTCTTAATTGCTTAGTGCTGTTATAGAATTTATTTTGCCACAATTCAGTAGCTAGAAGTCTAAATTCAAGGTGTAACTCCAGAGGGAGGTACTTGGTCTATTTCAGCTTTTAGTAGCCAGCAATCCTTGGAGTTCTTGGCCTTATAGATGCATCTGCCTTGTGTGTCTATCTTTATATGACATCTCACTCCTGTGTGTGTCTCTGTATCTATTCTGCTTTCTTTATAATTCAGAAGTGATTAGCTTCAAGATCCACCCTACACTGGTATGACATCATTAACACAACAACAACAACAACAAAACTCCTTTATACATGGTCATATTTCAGGTACAGGAATTAGGACTATAATACATATTGTGGGGGGACACAATTCATTCCATAACATAGTCCTTATTATTCTCCCTTGTCTGAAAGCATAGGACTATCTAGCCCTTTTTTAACTCTTCCTTGCCTCCTAGAATTATAAAATAGTTCATACCCATCTTAGTTATTCTTTGCCCAAGACGTGGAATCAGCTATACTCCAAGAAGTAATGATTCATCTTCATACAGAGTACTATTAGAGGCCAAATCTGGGCTCTACATACACATATCCCATATGGCTTTGATATAAGGCTCTTTTACCAACATAAGTTATGAGTTTATATTTCTAATTCAATTTACATATAATTCATCTTTAAAAAAATTTCTAATATTAAAATTTTCTAATTACTTAATTCACATCAACCTAGATCTATAAGCCTTAGAAGTGTATGTATCCTTCTCTTATTTGTATGTCTCACACATCACCAGCTATGATCAGTTACTCACACAAAATTACTAATACAATCTCCTAACTTCCATAGCTCCTCTGTCTCTTGCTCATTTAGATATCTCCAGCATCCTATAGTATTTAGATGTTTATACTGTTCTTAAATGACTCTGACACTACTGAACTGGAATATGTTGTTTCTACTAAAGGAATTTTAAGACACCTACTGGTAAGTTAAGTACAGGCTCAAATAACACAGCATGAGAAATGCAGTCTCACCATCTCCTCTTCCATGTGTACTTCCAAACATACTGCTGGCCTTTTCACAAATCTAGCCTTCCTCCAGGTGACTTGTTTTCCATCACTGATCCAGCAGTCTGTGATGGTCACTTGGGCCAGAGACTGGGTGATGCTGTATGTTTTGTACTTGACCCCTGAGAAGTTTCTCGTCTGGTTCAATATTAATAGAAAATCACACTGAAGGTCAACTTCCTGCAGAGATGGTAAGGTTTAAATACTGGAGATGTCCTACTGACAGTGTCCTTCCTTACATACCTATGAGATCACAGATGCCATCAGAGAGTTGTAACTCCTGCATTCTCAAATCTTGAGGACTCTCTCCAATTTCCTCTCCCCACTGCCTTCAGCCCACCTGCCATCTGCTGCTGAACATGGTGACTGTTCCATTGACTCATCTCTCCATTTCCTCTTCTATCCCTGCCATTTTTGTTTGACTAAATTTTGTACCATCTCATTGGCTCTTGAATGTATATTCCTCCAGATGCTATCTTGGGTCAGAGCCACCACTGTCCTGTGTCAAAGGCCTGGATCCTGATTGATCTAGGTGGGTACTAAAGTAATGAACTCTATTACAAAAGGCTGGAGTCATTCAGCATGATTTGCTGTATCAGATCTGCTCAGGAGAAAAGCCCAGTACAATCTTTGTGGGGGTCAGTGAATCCTCAGGTAAGAAATGAAGATGTGCTTGCTGATCCTTTATTATCTGGAGTGTTACAACTACCCTACAACTCTTCTTGTGTTTCACCAGTTCTTTGTATAGTGAGTCAGCCCCAAACTCATGGCAACTCCATGAACAGTAGAATAAAACTCAGCTCGGTTCTGTGCCATCCCACCCTCACAATCAGTTGTGGGTCATTGTGATCCACAGGATTTTCATGGGCTGATTTTTGGAAGTAGATCAATCTCCAGGACTTTCTTCCTAGTCCATCTTAGTCTGAAGCTCCTCTGAAACTTTCAGCATCACAGCAACATGCAAGCCTCCACTGAAAGACAGTTGGTGGCTGTGCATGAAGTGCATTGGCTGCAAAACCCAGGTCTCCGGCATGGAAGGTGAGAATTCCACCACTGACCCACCAATGTTCCTACAGAAGTAATTATTAAAAACAAACAAACAAACAAAAACCCATTGCCATCAAGTTGATTCTGACTTATAGAGTAGAACGGCTGCACAAGGTTTCCAAGGCTTTACAGAACCAGTCTGTCATAGCTTTCTCTTGCAAAGTCTCTGGTTGAGTTTTGAACAACCAATCTTTAGGTTCACAGATCTTTCAGTTAGCAGTCAAGCTGGTAACTCGGCTCCACCAGAATTCCTGAGGTCATTTTAGGTACCGTTTTTTTGTTTTGTTTTGTTTTTTTTTAACTACTATGCCAAACCAGGGAGCTCTGGTAGCATAGTGGCTAAAGCACTTGACTGCTAACCAGAAGGCTGGCGGTTCAAACCCACCAGCCACTCCTCGGAAGGAAGGTTGGGCAATCCTACTTCCGTAGTGATACTGCCTTGGAAACCCAAGGAGGGGTCGCTATGAGTCGGGGGCCGACTCGATGGCACATAACAACAACAACAACATGCCAAACCAAAAGCCAAACTCACTGCTATTGAGTCAGATCCAACTCATAGCAACCACCCTTGGGTTTCTAAGGCATTGTCACTATGGAAGTAGATTGCCCAATCTTCCTCCTGGGGAGTGGCTGGTAGGTTTTAACCACCAGCCTTCTGGTTAGTTGTCAAATGCCTTAGCTACTATGCCACCAGAACACCTAACTACCATGCCAGACATTTTATATTAACCCCAGATGAAGATATTAATGACCCTCTTCATGCAGGTCACCAAGTTAAAGAAAAACTGGTATTTGTTCACAAAATAGTTTGACCCACCAAAATTCAGCTTTTAAACATCTCACAACAGGCCCTGTTTCTTGGAAATGACTTCCACAGGTGGCATTGTCTCTCATAGTTAGTCTGAAACTTTATGAGAAATTAGGGACAAAAGTTTTCACTTCCTGCTTCTATCTCTTTTCTGTCTGCCTTGTTAAGGGGTTCCAACCAACCAACACTGCCATAGAGTCTATTCCAACTCACAGAGACCCTCATTGGGTTTCCAAATCTGTAAATCTTTACAGAAGTAGTTTGCCTCATCTTTCTTCTGCAGAGCAGCTGGTGGGTTTCAACTGCTGACTTTCTGGTTAGCAACCAAATGTTTTACCCACTACTCCACCAGAACTTCTTTGTTAAGGAGTTAGTGAATTTTATATTTTCTCTCACATATTCTTCATCAACATAAAAAAT